GGGGGACGAGACGAGACTTTATGCACCTCATGTTATGCGGTGCTACGTGTGCTTGCTTCTCTGATCTGGCAGCTCGGTCTGTAGGCGAGCGAGCGAGAGAGCGAGAGAGCGGTAGGTGGGTGATGGGTGTTGCATGCGCGTTACAGAGTGTGTTTGTACGCGAGCGCGGATCTTGGGGGAGGGAGGGAGGAGGAGGAGGTGGTGGTGATGGAGCGGTGGGATGGATGGGAGAAGAATAGAGTATCGTGGAGTGCAGATAAACTTATGAAGAGCATTTAGGGGGTCGGGTCGGTCTCGGGGAAGTCGGGGGGGGGGATGAGAATCTCTTCTCTTTCCCCTCTCTCCTCTCTTTCTCACCCTTTTCGATAATTCAATTTTTTCGATGATTTGAGTTTTGTGACACGCAGAACAAACATGCATGCCAAGTTTTTCTGATTTACGCCACAAAAAAACCACATCGCCTACAGACAGCAGTACACCTGACACGAACGACAGATCTGAGCTATCTCTCAATCTTGTTTGCTTTGGCCCCCCCCGCCTATCCGCTGCCGCTACTGGTGCTTGCCCTGGTCATATCCTGTAACTTACCGCCTGCACGCACGGCTACAGCCCGTCCGCCTGCTGCACAGTACGAGTCCCATATTGGCGTCGATCGTCGAGGGGGGTGAGCGAGCCGAGGTTGTCTCGAGGTGTGGATAGCGGGATCAACGCGTTGCAGCCACATACTTGTACGTCTCGTTCGTAACCCCCTCGCCCCGTTTCGAGAGCGATGAAACGAAGCATACGCATATATAGTACAGCAGTAGTGAGTAGTAGTGGTGCATCAGCAGCAAAAAATAATGCGTGTGCGTGAGCAAGTTATGTACGTATACACAAGCACAAAAAAACTAACTTTTCCTTCCCCTCCCACAGTGTTTCGAAACGAACAAGGGGTGTGCGGACAGGGGGTTGCAGATTGCAGGTGAAACGAGACGGGATCGGCGGGGTGACGTTGGTTGGGGTGGCGGAGTTTGCAGATGGGTGGGTAGGTGTGTGATTGATGTACCCTACCTCCACTCTTGTCTCTTGTCTATTCTGCTCACCCAGCACCCAGCTCCCTTCGTGTCCGCCCCAACGACCAGATGCGGAAGGGGAGCGACAGGAACCAGAAGAGGATCGGCGGCACCGCCCGATCGGCGGGGGGGCGGCGTTAAGCTAATATCCGTGGCAGGACTTGGCGGTATTGGCAGTTGGGTCGGGTTTGCCCTGTTCCTGGTGAAGTTCCTGGTGAGGGAGAGGGAGGAAAGAAGCTAGCTGGGCTACAGTACGTAGCTGGGCTTGGTATGGGACGGGGCAATCTGGCCACGTTTTTTCATAGCGGGTTGGATGGGGCGGCCTTACCTGACTTCCGGAACCAGAACAAGACCAGTTCTGGATTCGCGGCACAGGGAGCGCCAAAACAGAAAGGAATTTCAATAATGCGAGGAGGGGAGCGGGGCGGACGGACGCGAAAAAAACCGGACTGGTGCCAAAATCCCTTGGCGGTGCCGAGTGCCGGTACCGTGCAGATGTGTGTGTGGAAGGGGATGGATGTGACAGGCAACGGCTCGCGGACGCAAGAGGGGGATAGCGCGTGTTACGCAAGCTTCTGGCGGCGGGCAGGACGGCGATCTGGCGTGCGGCTGTGCTGGAGGGGNNATGGACGAGGTGTGAAGAGGACAGAGTGTGTGTGTGTTCGCCGATCCAGTTCGAGATCATGTTTTGAGTTTGCTTCTGTTCCAGTTCCAGTTCAGGTGACGTTCAGGTGAGGTGAGCACGGTCAGGAGTGAAGCTTGGCACGGAAGCTGTCCGAGAAAGGGGGAAGGGAAGGATGCGGATGGGGGTATATTTAGGTCCATCTCCTCCCTGTGTCAGCCAGCCTGCTTCCTCGACTGCATGATCTGACAGCGACTGACAGCTCCGCCTGGCTGGGCTTGCTGGGCTGGCTGTGAAAGATGGACGTGAGCCCGGAGCAATTACCCCATCGTAGCGACGTGCGTCGTGTGCCATGTCATGCCATGCCCTGGCAGTGCTCGCGGGCCTTTTTTTTTTTTTTTTTTCTTGTTTGTCCTGGCTAGCTGACTGTCCATCTGTCGCCCACCGCACATCCGCAGCGAGCGAGCAGCTTAGTTTAGTTTGCGTTGACTTTGACGGCTCGACGAGTCGCATCCCTTCCTTTGGAGGGGAAACTTGCTCACCCTCTTCCCACTCTTTCCACGATCTCGCAGTAGTAGGGTGAAGTGGAGGAAGGGAGGAGACGTACATACTTCCAGCTCAGCAAAGCAAAGCCACCAGCCAGGTACACACACACAACCCCTCTGCTGACTGGCCCCGCCACCAAACGTGTGAATTCGCCGAACAAGCCGAGGATTCTCAGCAGATGCCTGCACAACTGCACAAGTCGTCCGGATGCATGCATTAACGGTTTTTTATGCCGGTCAGTGGCGTCCGTCAGTCAGGGCTGGGCTTGCTAGGGCCCTGCGCAGGCGTGGTGAGGCTAGACCGCGGGGCCCTGTCGTGACGCTGACGTGAAGGCTTGGCTGGGCTGGGCGGGGGG